AATCCAGTTGTGAAAATTGTTTAAGGAGATACGTCAAGGTTATATATGCATGCAACATTAATCTCCTCATGTTCAGGTTTATGATTTAATTCAGCATATTATCATGCATCTCTGCTGGGTGTATCTTTCCTCTCGAGACTAATGTTTGTTGTTAGAGTCCGTTTAGAGGGTGTTTGGAAAGACTTGTTTTCAAAAGCTTATAAGTTAAGTTGGCTTTTAGTTGCTTTTAGTTTTTATGATAAAAATACTATGAAAATTATTTGGGAAGAATAGTAGTTTGTTTGGTCAAACTTAGCTTGTACAAGTGAGCTTTTAAGCTAGTTTTTTAAACACCGGGGGTACGTACACCAGCTTTTAAAAATTGACACTTATAAGCTAACTTATTTATTACTTTACCAAACATTATGTAATAAAAAGCTAGCTTAAAAGCTAGTTTGACCAAAAAAACAAGCATCCACGAACACCCTCCTAGTCCTTCACCCTCTTTAGTCCTTCATTGGCTATATGGGGAGTTTGACGTGGGTTTATAAGATATTTGTGATCCCTCCCTCTTTTGAGTTTTGTTGGGTCCCTTAGATGGCACTTCTACTCCTTTACACCTCTGCATATCAGTTTTTTTAAGCAGATCGATGTTTGAATGCTAGCAACTTGCAACGCTGTTAATTTCATGCATCCTTTCCTTGTGGACTCTTGCAAATGTATTGCTTTATTTTTTTCCATTTGTTTAGTACCAATGATTGATAAGTTTCTTGTTTAGTTCTGTTGGATTCTTCGTTCTTCAAATAATGTTAATAAAAAAGATGCATATTAGATCATATATGATGTGTTATTGAGAAAAGTCAGATGGCCATTAGAACACAGCAACGGTTGGCTATTAAATTCTATGATGTGTCATTGAGAAAAGTAATTATCGATCTTTGATTATAAAAAGATATATAGGAGACCAAGATTAATTTAAAACATTCTTAAATTCTATCTCTATTTACTTTTTATTATCTATTAAAACTAGAGTTTGATCTTATATATATCTTTGAATATGTCGTGTATTCAGGCAAGTATTTGGATATTTAGATATGTATGAGTTATTTAAGTAATATCGATATTCATAGACATGTCCACGTTTCTAACGGTTAGATAGCAATGATCCACGTTTATCAAAATACCAGATATTTAGTTGCATTTCTCTTCCAATTTAAGATACAATGATGAATTGATGATAATGGGACTTTGTAAATCCCAACATGACTCAAATGAAACCTCCTAAATCTAGATATTTGGGGGCATTTTGTTCAATATAATATCTACGTAGAAGTGAACTGGAAAATTTTTCTTGTAAAATTTTAGATTTTTGAGTTCAGGAATAGGGAGGAACGTCCAATTTTAGGATGTCAAAATTAAAAACGTGAACTTTGGGTATTGAAGTGCAAATAAGTCTTTAAAAAGGGGTTATTTGCATGTATACCCTTTACTTCATTGGTATTTGCAAAGCTACCTCTCAAATCATCAATTTTGAAAATAATTACCCTCGAATTCAGTTAATTAATTTGTAATTACAGTCTACATGTTATCGTTAAAATAGTTAAATTTTTATTATGAAGTTGATTATTTTAAAGATAATTTTATAAATACTAAGATTTAGGGTCATTGTCACTAATACCCATTATTTATGGGGTATATATGCAGATAACTCAAAAACTAAGATATATTTATCACATCAGTCCACAATCTTTCCATAGTTATATTATGCCAACAATTCCAGCGTTTACAGTGACCCATACACAAAACGGCCCAACCTCAATTTTAAAGAAAAAACACAACAGGCCCCGGGCGATCAACAAAATCACCACCACGATAATCAATTGTTAATTAATAATCCAATCCGATTCAATAATAATTACTGCGATTCAACGAAGATCCGAATCTGATCAAGAAACGTGATGTCCTGCGGCCTATCTTTACGCTTAACGTATCCCATCGCCTCCTTCTCCGTGAAAGCCCCGAATCCCCTCTCCCCGCTCCTTCCTCCGCCTCGATCTCGACCTCCTCCTCCCCGACCATCGCGATCTTGACGGGCAACCTCTCATAATGACCCCGGCACGTGCCCTCGAGCTCGTCCATGCGGGCGAGGCCGCGCGCGGAGACGGCGTAGAGCTCGCCGCGCACGTGCTCCCCGGAGCCGGGGAGGTTGAGCAGGAAGGGGACGTCCTCCCCGACCATCGCGATCTTGACGGGCAACCTCTCATAATGACCCCGGCACGTGCCCTCGAGCTCGTCCATGCGGGCGAGGCCGCGCGCGGAGACGGCGTAGAGCTCGCCGCGCACGTGCTCCCCGGAGCCGGGGAGGTTGAGCAGGAAGGGGACGCGACGAGGGCGGCGTCGCCGGAGGCGATGATCTCCTGCATCAGGGCGTGGTTGGAGAAACCGCGCTTTAGGGTCCCGTAGGTGAAGATCAGCGATCGATCGCCGGCGGCC